ATGAGGTCTCACCAAGTTGCCCAGGCTGATCTCGAACCTGTGGGCTCAGGCAGTCCTCTCACCTCGGCCTCCCAAAGTGCTGAAATTATAGGCATGAGCCACCGCACCCGGCCAAGTTATAATATTTGATTAAAAAAATAATATTCACTAACATGTTCATATTACTTTTTTGTCATAAGGTTTCAAGCATTTAAGTTAAAGCTTTGAGCTTTTCTCAAGTACAGAAGTTCTAAAGATTATTTTTATAGTAACAATCTCAGTGTAATAATAACAAATAAAATGGAAACTTCTAGCTGAAATTGAAATTCTCTCTCGCCACGCATAATGCATACTCACCGTATATCTATAGCTGTACAGAAAATATAGTGTGTAGATATGTAATATTTCAAAATAAAACATCCAACTATTTGAAAATAATAGTTGCTGCATATATGCTATTTACTGATAAAATAGTTGTAGTTCTGTTTAAAGAAAGATGTAAGGCCGGGTGCAGTAGCTCATGCTTATAATCACAGCATTTTGGGAGGCCAAGGCAAAAGGATTGCTCGAGCCCAGGAGTTTGAGACCAGCGTGGGCAGTGTGGCAAAACCATGTCTCTACAATAAATCAAAAAATTAGTTGGACTCAGTGGCCTGCACCTGCAGTCCCAGCTACTTGGAAGGCTGAGGCAGAAGGATTGTCTGAGCCTAGCAGGTGCAAGCTGCTGTAGCCATGATCATGCCACCACACTCCAGCCTGTGCGACAGAGTGAGACTCTGATTCAAAAAAAGGAGAAAGATGTAAAAGTAAGGATTTTATACTTCTAGAATCTGTCATTAGCAAAGGAGCAGAAGTAATCTGAAAAGACAGATTGCTAACATTTCTGGTAGTTCATCTAAGATAAAATTAAGCCTGCAGGGTAACTATGTATACAGAGATTCAGTTCAAAGGCACTAGTCTCCCATATTTAATTTAGGTAGACTCAATTTTGCCCAACATTTGTACAAATGTGCTTACTGCCTAGATTTAAGTATGTAAGTGTAAATGAGATTGACCAGTGTAACCTATTTTGGTTTGAGTAAAACATGGCATTTATATCATATAAGTTCAGATTTATAATAGCTGTTTAAAAGATAAAACAGGCAGTATTAGGCCTCAGGGTCAGAGATGGGCCCTAGTGTAGCCACAGACATCTAACGTGAGGGTCACAGTTCCAAGTTAATGCCAAATTTGCTGGAGTGGAGATTAGAAGCAAAAGCCTTTAAATAAATGTTACCAGTGATGCTGAAGGAATGACCCTCTTTCCTCCATATTAGGTACCATTCAAAGAGGAAGCCTTAATAAGGACAAAGGATGTACATCCCAGGACCTGTCCCTAGGAAATTAGGCACCATCATCCCCTTCACACAAAAGAACCAATAAAAGCAATATTTTCAGTGAGTCACCTTCTATATAGGAAAATGGAAATATTCACCAGAGCCAGTCTGTCAACTCAAGGTACATATGGATCTGTTGATTTTAGCTGCTTCACACTCATGGTAGAGGAATGGACTTGCAGTAACAGCTGGGACTGGAGGCCCAGCAATGGGAAACCATCCAAGATCATCACTGATGATGTCACAATGTACCACTGTCCCAGAGCATCCATCCCGGATCTGCCTGCCCAGCCTCGCTTGGTCACTTCTGGATGAGTCGGAGGCTCAGCCCCGGGTGTTTGTCCTGGACAGTTCTGGTTAGTGCTAAAGAATGAATTCATTGGGCCCATAATGGCTTCAGCAGTTCCCCAGGCAGGTGATCCTCTAGAATCCCAGAAGTTTCTCCCTGGATGCTTTTGTTAAGCCTCACCAAGACATTTTCCACTGATGATGACGGAGAAGTGCTGGTGTTGAATCACCCGCTGCTTTCTTATTCCGTGCATAGCATGAAAAATTTTCTGGGTCTCAGCATTCTCAATTACAGAATGAGAAGATTGAGTTGAATTACAATAAATTTCCATAAAACTCTAAATTTGTTTGATTCCTTCCTGGTAGACTATTGTGAGCTGCCCTCAAAGATCAAGAAAGTATTGCCGGTCACGCTCATTCACTTATTCATTCACTCTATTTGAAGGGCCTAGGCTGTCACTCACTGACTGACAAATATAATGCAAGGCACAAATGCAGGGCAAATGTGGCTTTTCTTTTTGAGTCAGAGTCTCACTCTGTTGCCCAGGCTGGAGTGCAGTAGCACGCTCACAACCACTGCAGCCTCGACTTGATGGGCTTAGGCAATCCTTCCGCCTCAGTCTCCAAGTAGCTGAAACTACAGGCGCACACTACCATGCCTGGCTTATTTTATGATTTATTGTAGAGACAAGGGCGCACCAAGTTGTCCAGGCTGGTCTCGAACCCGTGGGCTCAGGCAATCCTCTCGCCTTGGCCTCCCAAAGTGCTGGAATTACAGGCTGAGTCACCACACCCTGCCAACCAGTACAAATTTATAAATGTCTTCCAAACACCAATAATTTGCCTGACCCTGAACATGTCATCCCATTAAAAGTGATTTTTGCACAAAGATTTTTTTTTTTTTTTTTGAGTCGGAGTCTCCCTCTGTTGCCCAGGCTGG